CTTATGTTTATTTGTTTATTTTTGAGAATTTTCAATTAAAATACAGTTCTTTCTCTAACAAACCCCATATAAACCCAAGTTTAACAATTTGTAGAAAACTTCAAAAAAGTGCAACAAATTTTCACCTAAGTTTCAAACTTTTTTCTCGGAAGTGTTAGAATTTTTTTGAATACACAGTTTTTTAGCCCCTGCAATTTTAGTCTGATAATGTGCAAGTTTCAAGTGACTGAAAGTTACCGTTGATTTTTTAGAATTTTTTTCGCCAAAGGTGTTGCGGTTTTCATCCATATACAAATAAATTGAGTTTATTCATTATATGGAAGCCAATGCAACAAAAAAAATCTAAAAAATTAACGGTAATTCGTAGCCACTTGAAAATTGTACATTATTAGACTAAAATTGCAGGGGCTAAAAAACTGTAACACTTCCGAGAAAAAAGTTCGAAACTTAGGTGAAAATTTGTTGCACTTTTTTGAAGTTTTCTACCAATTGTTAAACTTGGGTTTATATGGGGTTTGGTAGAGAAAGAACTGTATTTTAATTGAAAATTCTTAAAAATAAATAAATAAACATAAGTTGCACACAATATCACTTTGAAATGGCGTGCTATAGATATGACCGATACTGTATTCCCAAAAATGTGAAGATTAGATCTAATGATGTAAATTTGCATCGCGGATGAGTTCCAAAACTAAATTCGGTGCTGAAAAAATAAAATATTTTCTTGTGTTCTATTTATTAAAATAATGTGATTACACACAAGTTTTAAAAAACAGAGCTCGTTATGCCATCAAAGTACTCTCGCTCTGTTATATTTTTTAAAAGCACTCGGAGCGCTAGCGTTATTTACATTCTATTCACCAGGAACTCCTCACATGTTGGGCTCACTCGAGAATTTGCGTGTGGCGTATTTGTTAGTTTATTTGTGTTGATGGCATCGTTTTTATTTTTATCATTCACATTTTTTAAACACAAAACTTAAAACAACATAACCGCAAAGCCTTTTACGCCAAATTTTAAATTCAGAAACCGACAATAGAGAAAAGACCGAATCGAGAAAAATCGATGACAAACAACCAAGCAAACAAGAACCACAAACATTTTTGCACCGTCTCATCCTATAGAGGGCTGGCTAATGCCTTAAGTGCAGCTTGGCTGTCACTGCAACCACGTAAACTCCTTCCCCACCTATTTTCCACCACGCAGTTCATAGCTTTGAGGATTGCAAATACCTCAGCCTAGAAGACCGAGTATATACGAAATAAATTTTCATGGGCCCCCACTTACAACTCGTGGACCCCCATGTATTTTTCACGCCAAAGTAGACCCCCATCGAGTCTCCCGTGGAGCCCTGGGGGCCCACCTGGACCACTTTAGGAATCAGTAGTGTAAGCCAAAGCACACAATAATTTATTCTGGTAACCAGGCGATATTTGTGCGTAAAATATCGATATCTGATACTATAGCCCAAAAAAATATCGCGCCGATAATATCGTATCGGAAGCAAAAAATATCGTCATTATCGATACATCGATATAATATCAACAACCCTAGCCTGCGCCTTGATGTTGTCAAACAATTATAATTTTTTTTTTTAATTTTCTCTATTTATGTATGTATATCGCTACCTAAAGGTGAAAAGGTGACAGGTCCACCTTTTTAAAAATTTGGTTTTTGATGCTGAATGACAGATAATGCGAAACTACATCGATTTTTCGTCTCTCCTGAACAATTTAAAAAAAAATGGACATGGCGCCTTTTCGCCTTTAGGTAGATATGTTTAAGGCTAAAAAATATCCGAGAACCATATGCGAGCTTTCGTTAAGTCTTCTAGATCATTATGGCCGTTAAAGGGTTAATATTAAATTTTTTGTCAATGTTATTGTGGCTTATTAACATTTAATTTTAATATTCTTATTGAGCTTTGTACCACGACTATTTTATTAGGAAAAATGGAAAAAGCAAAAAGTCGAAGCGGTAGAAGTTATAGCAGCTATTTCGGAGATCACCACATCTCCTCATCAGACTTTATTTTTAGACTTTCAGCAGGGATCGAAACCGCGACATCGATGCATTTATAAAGTTGACAACAACAACCACACTGTCAAGTTTAAATAGCGGCAAGTCAACTGCACTTGATAGCAGTAGGTTGAATAAGGAAAATGAATTAGCAACATGAGTTTACGGGGTGTGCATAGCTCAGTGGATAACGCCTCTGACTTTGCACATCGATGACGCGGGTTCGATCCCTGCTGAAAGTCTAGAGAAACGAAGTCTGATGTTGTTATAGCGGCTACAACAACCCCGCCCAGATCGGTTAGTCCCTCAATCGTTGTCGTCAAGATCTACTAGCGGTAGCCCCAGGAAGCGTGCAGCCTCGATGGCGTCTGTCCATAGGGACAGGGGCGTTAGTAGGGTGGGATTCAGTGGGCATGCGAAGAGTTGATGTGAGTCATGGGGCGGCTCTCCATATGCCGGGAATTCGTTTAGAACATCCTTGTTTAATCTGCTCAGGTATGAGTTCAACCTGCTGCAGTAACCAAAGCGCAGTTGGGCTATTGTGGTCCGAGTCTCCCGAGGCAGACGAAGCTCTGTCTCGTCCACGTCTAGTGGTTGTGTGCCCAGAACGGCATTCGAAAGTCTACATAACTCGAGACTGCCTCTCTGTGGATGCCGTTCAAGGCCTGTCGATAAGCTATCGGGTCCAGAGGTTGTCTGATGAACCTCTGGACTTCGTCCGTCAGTTCGTAGAGATGCCTCCTGACGTGCCTGGGCGAAGGCTCTTCTGCAAGGAGTTGTCTGGTTGTGGCTCCCAACTAAAAACTGCTTGCAGAGCATTGTGTCATGCTCCTTAACGGAAAGCATGTGGGCCTCGTCGTGCAAGTGGTGTTGCGTCGACATCAAAAGGCATCCTGTCGCTGTCCTCAGTGCCGTGTTTTGTGAAGTCTGTAGCTTCATCCACTGCGTCCTACTAGTCCCGGGTGACTACACGGGCGCTGCATAGTTGAAAACCGGCCGGCCAACTGCCTTGTACGTTGCCAGCAACGTTTCTTTGTCTTTGGCCCAGGTGCTGCCGGCTAGCGACTTGAGGACCTTGTTGCGGCTTTGTACTCTGTTGACAATTGCGGTTGTATGCGCCGAGAAGGAGAGCAGACTGTCGAAGGTTACTCCGAGTATCTTCAGGTTGCTAACCGTTGGAATTGGTTCGTCATCGACGTTAATTCCCGGTTGTAGTCTGACCTCCTTCGTCCAGGTGGTAAAAAGTGTGGCTGAGGATTTTGTAGGGGAGAGGGTTAGGCTCCGTGCGGTGAAGAAGCGAGAAAGCTCTTCGCGATAACCGTTTACTTCCGAGAACAAGTCATCAATTCCATTCCAACACGCCATGATCGAACAATCGTCAGCATAAGAGACAATCGAGACTCCCTCTGGTGGTTGAGGGAGCTTTGAAATGTAAAAGTTAAACAGTAATGGGGAAAGGACACCACCCTGTTTGGTCGATTTGTCTCTAAAAGTTACTAACGAGTGACGACCACTCAGATAATTCGCCGACCACCGTTTGAGCCCCTGTGGGAGAGAGGAAGCCTCAATGTCTCAGTGTCGAACGCGACTAGAATGGTTTTCTCACAGAGGCGGTTTCGGTTAAGGCCACGAGTTTACTGGGTTTTATGGCGTTATGTGCTGTTTTTGTGCTGCACACTTTACGCAACCCATGCTGATGCTTCGCTGGGGTCAGGTGGTTCGTAAAATACGGGAGTAGCAAGGCCTCTAGTGTCTTCGCTACCGGGGAAAGGAGGGTTATCGGACGACAAGACTCTCCTTTGTTGGCTGGTTTCCCCGGTTTGAGCAGTGGCACCACTCTCCCCATCTTCCAGATGTCTGGAATGCCGAGAGTGGCCATTGACAGATTGAGGACCTCCGTTAGGTAGGCTACTCCCGCAGGACCCAATTTTTTCAGCATCAACATGCAAATTCCGTCGGGTCAACGGCTTTGCAAGCTTTCGCCTTCCCGATGGCTACCCTTACTTCACCGCTGCACAGAGTAGTATTTCTATCAAAAAGCTGGCCAAAAGTACAAATTGTAAAGTACAACAAAAAGCACTGCAGCTTTATTTTTCTAACAGCGAAATAACCGCTACGTTATATTCCTGCCCTCCAAGCTTCTTGTGTACTTCTCACGATATATGCGCCAGTCGAAACTCAGTCGTGTGTGGTTGAGGTACGCTTTTTTCCCGAAAAGTAAATTTTCTGTACAAATCGCCTAAGTGTTTTTAATAAGATTTAAGTGGGATTAATAAATACGCTTCACAGAGATGGAAGAGGAAGGTACGCAGTTTAATACTGAGCATGATCTGTTCAACATTTTAAAAAAATCTGGTTTTTTTTTTAAAACAATTGTAAGAAAATAGTTATCTTTTGGTATAAAAATAAAAACAAAAGTGTCTATGACTATGTTCCGGGCACTTCCGAGGTACTATTTTTACATTAAAATACAGTTTGATGTTTGCTTTGCAAGGTCCATAAAGAAAAAGTACCGCTTTTTTCCGCCATTTCGTTTTTTATAGGTTTAAACCTAATGATATTTATACCCGAGCGCACTTATGCACAAGGGTATTATAACTTTGTTCACATAACGGTTGTTTTTAACAGGCAAAACGAATCGAGATAGATACATATATACAAATGTATACATAAATGCTCAGAATGAAAAAAGAAATCGATTAAGCGGTGACTGTCCGTCCGTCCGTCCGTCCGTCTGTGCACACGATAACTCGAGTAAAACTTCCGTTTGTCAAGAAAAGTTTCTGGAAAAACGTCGTCACGTGAAGATAAAAAAGGAGTTTAGTTTTATAAGTATCTGCGATCATAATATTCGTTTTCTCTCTAATATTAATAAAAGTGTGAGCCCAGCAGCTATATAATTGGTGACCCCGACAAAGAACCAAAAACTGCAGCAGATGGGGTCGGACAACGAGGATAGCAGGGCAGAAGAACATCCGCAAATGGCAGTCACACCTCCAACCGCACTCAGCCGCGAATTAGGTGCAAACGAGAAAATTGCTAACATCTCGGTAAAGCTACGCCCATTCTGGCACGCAAATCCAAACTTGTGGTTAGCTCAAGTCGAGTCTCGCTTCATAGCCGCACGCATCAGACACGATGCAACGAAATACCACACCGTGATTGCCGCCATCGAGAGCAACGTGCTGGCGCAAATCAGCGATATCATCTTAAACCCCCCAACTACCGATATGTACGAGACGTTGAAAACACGCATTTTAGAGCGATTCGGAGAGTCCGAACAACGACGAATAAAAAAATTGCTACAAGAGCTGGAGCTCGGCGACATGCGTCCGTCACAACTCCTCAAGGAAATGCAAATTCTGGCAGGTAACGCGATGAACGACGCTATGCTACGATCAATCTGGATCAGCCGCCTCCCAACTGACGTTCGGACCATAATTTCAATCAGCACAGAACCTTTGGAGAAAGTGGCACTCCTAGCCGATAAAATCTTAGAGGTTAGAGAAGGACCATCTCGACTCGTGAAGATACGGCGCGTAACTCAACACTGGCGCAGCAAATCGAAAAGCTAACGCAAGAAGTGGCAGCGCTAAGGTCAAAGGTTTCTACGCAAGTTCGTCATCGCAGCAAAAGCCCAGCACGAAATAGATCGCAAACACCATCAGAGACCTGTTGGTACCACCTCAAATTCGGCGACGCGGCAACAAAATGTCGCCCGCCCTGCGCAAAGGCTTTAAACTAAAATGCCCGTCGCTCGTAGCGGCATGCGACAGGCTCAATTCACCAAGCCGCCGCTTACTAGTTAGAGACACAGTTTCCAAACTCCATTTCCTAATCGACACTGGCGCTGAAGTCAGCATAATCCCCGCTACACCAACCCAACGACAAAAGGGCGAAACCAATTTCTATCTGTATGCGGCCAACAAAACGAAAATCAAAGCCTACGGAGAGAAGCTTCTTACTCTCAACATCGGCCTTCGACGTCCGCTGAGATGGAATTTTATTATCGCCGACATGGCACAACCCATAATCGGCGCGGACCTCCTCGCTCAATACACTATTCGACGACATTACAAATATCGCGAAGTGCTGCGCAATCGTCAACGTTTCAAACGACATTTTAAAAATTTCCACCGTCAACAACGACATGCCCTACCAAGAAATACTTAACGAATTCAAAGACATTATGGGCGCATCAAAAACAGTACCGAAGGACACCACACACAACGTTACGCACTGCATAGTGACAAAAGGGCCACCCGTTTTTTCAAAGCCCCGTCGATTAGCACCCGAAACACTGAAAGCTGCAAAAGCCGAAATCGAATCACTATTGGGGGCGGGCATCTGCCGACCCTCACGAAGCCCATGGGCCAGCCCCCTCCACATGGTGAAAAAGAAGAACGGCGAATG